AATATAGCCTTAAACAAAAAAGATTTATATTTATTGCATATGGTCTAATCCTTACAAAAATTGCATTTTATTTATAAAAAAGAAGAAAAAAAATGTTTCAGCATTATTTCATATATTTTTTATTTCTTTTCATTTTTTTGTGGAATTTACAACAAGTTTGTAAAATTCCTTAAGAATTTGGCTAATATTTCAATAACGCTAAGTTTTCTTCTTTTTTTTTTTCTCAAAAAGATAATAGTTAATATTTTGGTATAAATATTGGACCTATATGTAGACTAATATTTAAATGAACAGAAAATTCTTAAATTTTTTTTAATATTCATCAATTTTAATTAGGAGTATTTTTCACTACAATATATGAGTTGTGAGAAACACTTTCACCTTATAGGATAGGTAAATCATGTCAGAGCACCTATAAGGATTCTTCCTATAAGGATTTATCTAGGCATACAAGCACATAATAAATTTGAAATATAAGTTTTTTTCATAAGCATAAATCTTTATCTTGATTCATAGACGAACCACCGATTAAGAATCCATCAACATCTTTAAACCACATCCATACCACATTGCAACTTACCTTAGGTAAGATGCACTAAAGATGTTAATATCATCCATAGCCACAACTAGTCCTTTACCCTAAAATTTCAAATAAAATCAATCCACTCAAGTCTCTTAGTAACCCTAAATCAAATAACTAGGTGGTGATTCTTTAACCCTAATATCTCATCACGCTACGCACTTACATGCTACAAGATTATAAAGGTTAGATATAAATAAAAATTTAAAATATAAAAGGTGTTGTCACTTTTAACAATGGAAAAAAAAGTAGCAATCTTCTATTACTTGAGAGTTCTTGAAGTCATAATTTTCTATGAAAACTATGTTTAGAGCGGTTATAATCACTAGCCTAGATCTTTTTTCTCTATTATTGTACTCACTCTACTCTACTCTCTTAGTGCCTATTTATAGGCCAAAATGATGCCACCTACTCTAGTTCGTCTTTAACAATGGTGGTTTTCAAAGTTGACATTTGGTATGGGTTGCTAAATTAGTCAATAGACAGTGATGTCCATTTGCTGCACATCAATGGCAGCAAACCTAATAATCACCTTATTTGTCATTCATGTAGGGCAATTGTCCTCTTGCTTCTTTAGTATATGCTTACATCTTACATATCTTTCAAACCTACCATTCTGATAGCATCTTCGGCCAAGTTTATAGGTACTTGCCAAACCTTTCAATCACCAGAGTCATCAAAATACACCTTTACTCACACCAAAGGATCACTAAAACCAAGTGGTCTGTCACACTATATCTGAAGAGTGTTAACGCTTGTCTATAGGACAACATAACATTCCCCTTCGAACGTGTCAACCATGCTCAGTTCAAAATGGTTTATTAAGGCTTACAACACCCCCTCAAACAGAAATATCTATTTCCAAGTATGACTATCATTATCTAAGTATTTCAATGTGATCATGAGTTCACCACTCTTTCAAGAGTCCACTCATCTAAGAGTTATGTCTGCCCTCTATTCCATCCTAAAAACCACGTCTTACTTCTCTATGAGTCTTTAGTTTTTAGTCCTAAGAGTCTAGGTAACTCTCCATCTTTAACCATAAAGGCAGCCTACTAAAGGTTGATTCATATCTATCTTCATACTTATGTATTAAAATGGCATCGTCGAGCTCACTACCTTGACAAGAGTCAACTTATTCCTAAAACCTACGCATGTCATTTGCTTCAACATAGTAGTCGTATCTTAATGCTCTACAAGTTATCCACTTATTTTCCAAGGCAAATATATTTTAGCTCATTGATTTTTAGCATGGATGTAATATCCATAAAAGTCAATTTGACATTTATCTTCATCGACTTTTATCTTCACACTAATCATAGCCACTATATTGGTTATCCATACACATGTTTACTTGTATCTAGCCATCATATTGACTCTAAGGTATTCTCAACATGAGCTCATATCATGGCCCTCACACTTCTCTCCAAGGTGTCTCCACCCGTCATTATAAGGCGTTCTAAACCTAGGTTCATATCGTGACCCTCACACCTTCTCTCTAAGGTGTCTTTGCTAGTTGTCATGGGATGGTCGCATCCTTTTTCATCTGGGATGTCTCAAAGTGGCTCTAAAATTCTCTACCACCATGTGCACTATAAGAGAGATTACTACCACTGATTACATAGAAAAATAGAGTTGTGGTATACTCCTCGCAATCCTCCATCTTGATTTTTATGTTTGGAGCCTCTAGCCTTTTTTCATGGCGCTTGACAGCTGCATATACACCAACTCTCCTTTTGGTGCCTATTCCTTTCATAAGCAGTCGCACCCCCTTAATTAGGTGTCTTTCATCCTTGCATGCATTGGAAAGGTTTTTGTTTGTTGTCTTTATCAAGAGCATAAGAGACTTCTTGTTGTACAACCTTCACATAGTCTTTACTTTGAGATTCATCTGGGAACACTTTTTCTTTTTTGCACCTATTGTCTCATTACAGTACCTCATTGGATCCTACAAGTACTCTTGCACAATCTTTATATGCCCTCGAGCAATTTATATTCTAACGATTTCTCTCTATTCTTTACTTTTATGTTTGACAGCAGCTTATCCTATCATAACAACTATCCAAGTTAAAATAAGGTGTCAATCTTTATCCCCTTGCTGTATTTCTCTACCATTATCAAGGTCTTCATCAATTCTACCCTTGAGAAATCACAGTTACTGAATCTAACTTCTATGAAGAAATCACCACTCCATCAAATCCTTGAATATACGAAACTCAACCATTCCTTTGTGTTGTCATCTTGCTAGTCTTCAATCGTTTCATTACAAATTGTTATATATAAGAAAATAGTATCATATGGATAATCTTTCAACTAAGCAAGTTTCTGAAAAAGATTGAAAGGGATACCAGTCCTGCTTAAAACACAATTTTCTAGCTAGAACTTCTTAGGTCATATCTATCTTTTGTACTGTCTTTCTGTATATACAACCATTTGCTAGCTTTGTCGTGACTTTCCTTTACAAGTAATATGTAATATCTTGGTTTTATACCTAATTTCTCAACATCTAGCGAGACTACCAGTGCTTAGATTCATCAAGATTAGTATTCATTAATTTCCACTCTCCACCTCTAATCTCCCACATGATCGAGTATCCAGAGTATCCAAATTTTTTCTTCTCTCAAGGTAATTAAAATCCCCAGTTAGCAATTTAACCAATGTAATTTAGTAAACATATGCGACCTTTTCTTCTTATTCATCTCCTTCGACCACCATGATGACTTTCAGATGCTTTCTCTTCAATCAATCTCTCTTGTTAATTCATCATCACTACTTTCGGTCTAGATCTCACTAATCGGACTATACCATTGCATCTTGAATGATTAAATTATTTAGAAAAAAAGTCTTAAATCATCCAAATTGCATTTCAAATGGCTAAAATTTGATCAAAACATTTATGGCTTGATTAATGGTCGAGATTCAATCTCACATCTAGTTGTATATAGGATTAGCTACATTGGATCCTATTCCTTGGCTCGGCTTCAACTCAACTTGCAGCTGATGATGTGGCTAATAGATCCCACTATGCTGATGTGTCAGATGACTGGTCGCTGACATGTCATGCCAACTGTGCATACTAATGTCATGATTATATCATGTTGATGTTATCCTCATTCGAGTCAATCATGTGGATCGATTCGTCTAGTATTCGAGTGAGGTCAGCCTATCCAGGTGAAGAAAAAGGGTGGCTCGCATGGGCAGCTTCCTCTCTAATGTGTGTTGACACGTGCGGCCATGTCTCACAATCAAAATTTTATGCTATTTTTACCAATGTGCTTGTATCTTTCTCATCTTCACAGTGGTATGGTCAAAACACCATTTTGACAACTTTTATTTTTGGGCAAAGATTAAGCTCCACTCTAAACCATATGCTCTGATACTGTTGGGGATTTCCTCGTGAGGAACAGTGATGTTCATGATCATTGTCCACTGGAGGCTTAGCACACTAATAAACAATATTTAATGTGGTTTGGCAAATCGCCTATATCCACAGGAGCGGTCCATATTATTAAAGATAGAGAAAGAATACAATACATAATACATGGAAGAGGAAAATCGCATCCACTCAACTTAATTCACATCTCTCATTGTTGTACTTACAATTGTTGCCCTTGTAGTTACTTACTACTCTTAATAGCCTTTTCATTTTCTCTTTTCTTCTTTTTTTTTTTATTTTATTACTGCACTCACTCTGCTCAGCTTTATTGGTGTCTATTTATAAATAAAAATAATGTCATCTAATTCAGCGCATCTTCAACAATAATGACTCAATAATGCCTGTCAAAGTTAACATTTGGTATAGATTGCTACATTAATTAACAAATAGTGCCGTCCATTTATTGTACATGAATGACAAAAAACCTAACACTTACTTATATTACTTCCATCTGACTTAATTAACTCCTACATCCATTTAGTTAAGTTATATATATTCCAAGCAACTTCTATAGTTTCGCATGTAAAATTTAATGTATGAGCACTACTAAAATGAAATTTCTCGTTTATTATCCACATAGATCCTAAATCATATATATATAAAAACCATTCAACAACATATTGTTATGAGTTTAACTGGACTATGAAATATGAATGTCGAAATTTGGAATCTAAATGGTTCTAGTAGAAAATCAAAAAGTAGTTGACAAATAGTCTAAATTATAAAAACAAAAACATTGAAGTCTGCCTTGACCAGTTTTGCTGTCTAGTTCATTGTTTTGACTCTCCAGACCTTCTCAATTCTCCAAGTTGCGACCACTTGTGCTAATCCAGAGGTCCTAAGAGAACAAGTACCACAAATCTGTCAATTTGACTGGGCTTGTTGTCTCATGAAACTGCTGGATTCGGTCCCTTATCATGCATACGGTGAAACATAGCACCGATCAATTATAAACACTCCTATATATCTGCACAATAGAATTCATTACCCTCTCAAAGTTTGTTGTTGCACCACCAAAATAGAAGTGGTGCCATCGAAATCCATGGACGAGATATAATCACCTATAACTCCTAATTCAAGATGTTCACACCAATCTGATGATAATCCTTCGAGGAGAACTGGATTGATCCCTTTGTGCCTTCCTAGGATCCATAGGTCAAAATGCACATCATTACCAAATGCCTGGATTGTAGCCAATGTTTCTTCTCCATTCTTCATTACAACCTCTCTACAAACCACACGTTTATTTCTTCCATTCCTTTCCCGAAATGATATGATCACCCCATCATCAAGCTTCTTCTCTTGCTCATATTCTCTGTGATGATGATGAGAAAGGAACCTAATCACCGTAAGGAACACATTCGGATTCATTAGAATTCTATCTGCATAAAAAAGGGACTCTCGAGCGTCTGCTCCCCCTAAAAATAGCACAAGAACATGGCGAGGAGAGCTGTTGAAGGAATGATCGAAAAGGGGGCCCAATAAGTGAACCTTGTGAACAAGAATTCCAACGGAGCATGGAGCGTGGTCCAACACATTTGAGAGCACAGATGGCGTTCTTCGTTGATGATGTAGTTCAGTCATTCTCACGCTATCCCTCCATTCCATATGGAAAGGTAAAATGACAAGATCGGCTTCTTTTATCATAGCCAACTTGCAGATGTCTTGATACATTGTTTGCTTTGGAACCACTGCCGTGAAGGAATGGATCTCCATCACGTCCCTCTTGGCTTCTATATAGATTTTTAAGGCATTATACGTGGAATCGTAACCTGAGTAATTGAAAGTCATTTTCTGCTTCTCGTGATCTATCAACAAAGGGGCTGCACGGCCATTCAGTTCAGTGAGGCAGAGAGCATAGACTGACAAATTTCTCCGACATGAACAAGAGAATTCAAAAAGATTGATGAGGGTGGCCACACTATCTTGGTTGTGGACACAAGCTACTACTTTAAGTTCTTCGTGTGGAGGGGTGTATTGGATGGCTCTCCTCGTGTTCACTATATATGGCCTAGTTGGATCGTAGAGGAATCTGATGAGAGGCGTGGCAATTGCTGTCACAGCTGTTACCAATAGCACCAGCATCGTGTAAGATGGGATCTCTATAACCTATAAAACATAAAAATGCACATAATCAATGAATAACTCTTTTATACACCTATCAGTTGAGGGGAATATCTAGTTCTGAACATGGACTATATGATGATGTGCATATATGCGATGGAGAAAAACTGGCTTACCGATTTTTCCATCCAATGCATTATTAACATGAACTCCTGCTGACCTCTCAAATTCAGAATGAGGGTGAGAGTAAGAGCATCTCTAAATGGTATTTTCACTAAGAGAGAAGTCACAAGAGTTGCAAGCAGTTTAAACACAATTCCTGACATAGCCAATGTAAAAAGTGGTGCCAATCCAGACCAGGAAACACTTGTCATTGCAGAAAGATCCACGGACATTCCGATGTACACATATGAAAACGGCATGAAGAAGTTCATTATGAATGTCTCGCTCCTGGCCACAATTGATGATCCGAGTGGTGGACCATCGGGTATCACAAGCCCCGTCAACATGCATCCCGTAACAATGCCCAATCCGAGCATGTCTGAAAGAAAACCCATCACCAAAGCCCCTAACAAAATGAGAACCACATAAACTTGCTCGACAAGCTTCCCTTCGGAGTTTTTTCCAATAATCCATATCATTGCTTGTTGAAGGGTGATAGCACTGAAAACCATGAAAGCTATTACAGAGATCATGTACCATAAAGCGGCATCGACACCAACATCTGTTTGTTTTAGCCCCCCAGATATGATCAACAAGATTATCGCTATTCCGTCCGTTATTATCGCGATAGCCAGGGCCATTTGCCCAATCTCGGAGCTGAGCAGGTTTAGTTCCTGAAGGATAGGATAAATGACAGCATATCCTGTTACAGCCATTGCTAAAACAACTCTTCCAATCGAAGAAGGTTTAGAAAGTATTTTATCCATTGACGGTCTAATGATGTTTCCAACTATTGTACCTGTGACAAGAGGAATGATCACTCCAGCCAATGTTATCATTTTATGTTTCCTTCTCGAAAATTTGATCACAGAGAGATCCATCTTAACCCCAATGATGAAAAGGAAGTACATGAAGCCCATAGTTCCAATATTCCCAATGATATACTTGACATTTGCGGAGAAAAAAGCCCCATTAAACTTCTTGTCGATGCCTAGGACAGACGGACCAAGGATTATACCACCCTTGAAAATTATCAAAAACAACAGAGCAACATATATATGTTCAGTGGCAGAAAAATCCATTTTATTTCAGTTTCGAATGTTGGTTAAATATGCATGCAATGTTTAGCGAAACATGGAAATAAATATACGCAAAAATGAAGCACGAAACTTACAATGACCTCAGAGACAACCTTGGGCTGTTTGCAAGGCCTGAGAAGAAAGGCGACAATGCGAGTCATCAAAATGACTAAAACTGCATCGAACAATATTACACCGAAGTGGAAATTTAACCCGTCATTCGAGTAAAAATAATCTGACGAGTTCCCTTGACGAGTTGCGCGACATGAAAATGAATCTTTAGAATGGTATAATTCATCGGAAACAACGTTGTTAGTGACTAGAAATCTATCAGAATTAGGAACATACAATGCTTCTGTGGAAATGGAATTGTGGAGTGGGTCGTCAGCTATCCTAACCATTTTTCTTACGAATATCACCTGAAAATATTCTTACCATAAACTGTGAACATTGAAGAGAGAGACAAGAGAGATGTTAAGGATTGTGGGCATGCATTAGTTGTGGAGAAAGCCATCGATTTCATTTGCAGAAAAACGAAAAGAGTGGAATTTGGCCGATGTTTTGTTACGTTTGACCACTCTTGATTTATTTTAATTCTGACACGTATGCGGTTTGCTTAAGTGGAAAAAATACGCCTTGATATCAGTCTTCCTTTTCTTTTTCCTAGGTTATATCAAGTGATGTTCGTTTCTGAAAGAGTAGTTGTCTCCATCTCATGAAACTCAAAAAGAGTATAGTAGCCCAATCCACATGGATCCAGTAGCAATGCCCAATCCAAGCATGTCTGAAAGAAAACCGATCACCAAATGTACCCCCTAACAAAATGTTCCACCACATAAACTTGCTTGACAGGCTGCCCTTCGGGGTTTTCTTTCCTAGAGTCCATTTCTTTGCTCGTCAAAGGTATTTTATGCTAAAATAGTAAAAAGGCTCGTGACTCACGGAGAGATGAGCAAGAGAAGGTTGACCTATCATTAAAGCTTAACATCTCCTTTTAACAAAACTATATTTTAGACTCCAGTACGTATAAGTTTAAAAAAATAATAGGGTAATCTCAAGGGATATTTCAAATTAGATACCTTATCTTGATGAAGTATTTCCAAAAAAATCTAAATACACCTCTCAGAAAAATAAAACAAAAAAAACATTTTGATTAATGAGATTCTTATAGAAAAAAACACTAGGGCGAATCTCTTATCCAAGTTAGCAAGCTCCAACTTGGCTAACCTCTCTCTGAAAGTCTAGATTGAAGTCCTATAGAAACCAAGCATATAAGAAGAGCTAATAATTTACTTTTTTAACACAAAAGATGATTGGAGGACTACTATCAAAGATTATTCACACACTAGAGGATTGCCTTCAAATAGAAATGAAGTTATTTGTCTAACTAGATAAGCAACCAGGTAGTGTATAATTGATGGGATCTTATACAGGTGGTCTACCCAAGCTCATTTGTTGAAATGTTTGTCCCCAACAAAAAATGCTTATGTTCTACAAGAAATTCATGGGAGAATCTGTGGTCTACATACCATTTTTATGGCTCTTACAACCCAAGTAACTAGAGTAGGATTTTATAGGCCAACATCTTAAACAATGCTATTATATTGGTGAAACAGTTTGATCAATGTTAGAGATTTGCATTGGTCTCTACACAACTCTCTACCAAGCTGACCACAACATCTTTTCCATTGATATTCGCCCAATGGGGGATGGACATATATAGCCCTTTTCCAAAAGCCATGAGAAACAAACAATCCATCTTAGTGGTTGTTGACTATTTCTCCAAATGGGTCAAAACGAAAGCTCTAGCAGATATCACCATCAACAAGGTCTTTATAGTCAACGATAATGAGATAAAATTTGACAACCACAAGATGAAAAAACAATGTCAAAATCTTCATATCAACCATCAATTCTCCTTAATGTCTCACCATTAGACAAATAACTTGGCTGAACTTACCAATTGGGTTATGCTCAATGGACTCAAGAAAAAGATAACGGAGGCCAAGTCAAAATTGACAAAGTTGCTAAATGGAATTTTATAGGCCTATAGAACCACCCAAAAGACATCTATTAAAAAAACTCATTTTCTCCTCGCATATAGAACTTAAGTCATGATCCCAACTGAAATCGGATGCTCGAGTTATCAAGTAATCCATTATATGTCAAAAGATGATCACCCAAAACTTAAGAACAACTTGGATCTTCTAGAAGAAACCTGTATAACTATAGCAATAAAAAATGAGGCCTACCACTGCAAAACTACCTGTTATCATTATGTTGGGGTTAAGAATATAATATTTAAGCTTAAAGACTTAGTGTTAAGAAAGCTTAAGGCTACCCATAATAGAGAAAGTAAAGGCAAACTGGCCCCGAAATGGGATGGTCCCTTCAAAATCACAAGGATAATAAAGGCAAATACCTACCATCTCTAAAATATAAAGGGAAAAAGTCTTTCTTACGCATGGCACTCAGATCATTTGAAATTGTATCGTAGTTAATAAAGTATAAATTATTTATTAATCCTATATGATTTTCATCTTCTCTAGGGAATGCCCAAAGGCCACATCAATTCTAAAGGCGGAATTGAAGTCGTCGACCCAACAACCTTTTAAGGATATGATGGACTTGATCTTCCTATCGTGATTGCAAAAAAAATATCTTCATCTTTGTTATTTTAAATTATGATAGATCAACATATTTTACATTAAAATTCATTTACTAAAAAAGTTCATAGATAAAGTAGCCAAGAGAAGGAAGACCTATCATAAAAGCTCAATAGAAATCAAAACTCATAAAAAGAGGGTTTGACAAGATACCAAACACAGCTCTCTTGGGATCAGCCACGCGCAAGTCCTAAATATTATGGGTTTAAACAGATATAAGACTCAAATATCATGGGCTTAGCCATGTGTCAAGCTCAATCACATATGGGTCTGGTAAGATGTCAGACCCAACTTTCTTAGCACTATTACGTGTCGGGCCCAAGTGCAAATAGGGTCAATGAGATGCCAAACATGATTCCTTTAATCTCGACTATGTGTTAAACCCAAACATATATGGGTATGGCAAGATGCTCAATACAACTCTTAAAGGCTTGACTATATGTTAGTTCTAAATGCATATAGGTTTGGAAAGATGTCAGATCCACCTGCTTTAGACTTAGCTACATGCTTAGCCTAGGTGCCTTTAGGCCTAGAAAGACACAAAACTCAATATCTGTAAGTCTAGGATCACTTCAAGAACAAATATATAAAAAAAGAATTTAGGGTCATCATCTCTATAGTTATCAAACCCAACCAAACGATTAACACAAGACCAGAAGCCTTAGCCAAGTCTATTTTATTTAAAACTCAGACTTGCAATTAGGTGACCTGGTAAAACCTGAAACCTGAGTGATCTAACAAAACCTAGTAAAGACCCTTTTTTTTTTCAAATATGTTTTTTTCTCATAGCTAGAGGTCTATTTTTCAGTTGATTACTAACTCATTTCAAAGTTTATTATATAAATACTAGAAAAATGTTTTATTTTCTAAATGTGGGATTTAAAAGGTTATATTTTTCAATATGAGATAAAAAAAAACATTTTTGATTTAAATAATTTAACTTAAAAGAATAAGATAGTATTTTTTCAATGTAGGATAAAAAACTTTTTGAAATAATATTTTAAACTTCGTTATTCACAACATGTATAGCCTATATACATATAAAGTATTTTTTATATTTTTCTTCATATGAAATAGTAAAACCTCAAGTAATTTTTTTATTTTTTTGGATTGACCCAGGGTTAACACATGTAACTTGGGTTAACACGTGTAACCCGGGATCATCCAAGTCAGATTTGATAATTATGATCATCTCCCAAAACCCTAGCTATTTAAAAAATCATCTAACAACTGGATATATGCCAATCAATATTAATTTTGATCATAAGGATCGATTCCATCAAAATTAATGTTATGTATGAGATGGCGTAGGATTGTCTTTTATGAGTTTGTAGTATTCTCACAACATTAATGTTGATGTATGAAACTTCCTCCCCATTTGGATATGAAAAATAAAAAAAGACTTTTGGCCCTTCAAACAAAAAGAATAAAGTTCAAGGTATAAAGATTATAAATACTTTATGAATGACCTAAATAATTGGTTCAAAATCTTCACGCTTTTACTATATATTTTCAACATTTATCATACACAAACTAAGAACAAAAATGCTTGTTCTTAGAATTTAATGTTTATTTATTACAACTCCTCACTATAAAGTCATTGACTTAATCATGAGAGAGTCCCAAAATCCCATAAAAATAGACTGTTTTGCAAGAATTCAGGCCTTCAGCACCAACCCTCAAGGCCCTCAATTTTGAAGGATAGCAGATTGATATAAACGCGTGATCATCTATAATCTAAACAATCAAAAACTTAGGTTTCCTAGCATATTGAATTTTGGTGCATGAGCATCATCATATTGAAAACTATAAAAACTATAGTTGAAATCATATACCATCCTGCATCACCAATCCTCTAGGCCTTTAGTTATGAAGAATAGAAGATTGATATAAACGTGTAATCATCTATAATCTAAACAATTAGAAATTCAGGTTTTTTGGCATATTGAATTCTGGTGTATAAGCATCATCACATTGAAAACAATAAAAACTATAGCTGAAATTATATACCATAAAGTAGTATTGACATTGAAGTACACTAAACTAACATCTGAGATATGATCAGTAAGATATCATTATTGCTTCCATTAGTTTCACAATATACAAGGTTGTCTGTCCAATCTCAAATCTCAGCAAGTTTCATTCCAAAAGGATAGGATAAACCACAATAAATCCTATTAAAGTCATTGTTTAAACAATTACTCCAATCAAAAAAGGTTTGGCAAGTTGTTTGTCCATTGATGGTCTAGTGAAGTTTCTAGCTATTGAAGTTGTTACAAGAGGAATGATCTAGTTAATGTTATCAGTCTATGTTTCTTTCTTGAAATTTTGATCACAAAGATATCCATCTTAAACCCAATGATTAAAAAAAGAAATACATAAAGTCTAGGAGTCTAATATTTCTAATGACCTAGCTAACTAGCATTTTAAAAAAAAAATACCTCTTAAAAAATGTCATTAAACTTCTTATTGATGCTTTAGGATGAATGGACCAATGATTACACCACCCTTGAAATGATTAAAACAATTAAAACTTAAGTTTAATGGCATAAAAATCCACATCACTATAATTAAAGATGTTGGTTGAATTATACAAACAATATATAGGGAAATATGAAAATAAACATACAAAAAAATAAAGGAAGAAACTCACAATGACCTTATAAACAATGTTTGCAAGGCTGAGAAGAAAGTTGATCATATAAGTCATCAAATTGACTTAAACTGCATCACCA